TGCTGTATTCCAATAACAACAGGAGCTCAACAAAGTTAAAACATATAGAGATCAAGTTTCTGGTTGTTAAAGAAAGAGTTCAGAGTGGACATGTGTCAATAGAGCATACTGAGACAAACTCCATGGTTGCGGATCCGTTTACTAAGGGAGTGATACCCAAGGTCTTTCATGAGCACACTGCTCATATGGGTATAATGTCTCTTGAGGATATCTAGTTTCAGTGGGAGTTTGTATTTTTACTTTTCATATTGGACACATGTACTGTTATTTTGGATACGGTTTAAAGTTAAATTTATTTTCAATTATAAAGTTATTTGATTTATTATCTCTGAACTTGTTTAAAATGATCTCATTAAGGCATTAAGGTGGACCAGTTGGAAATAAGCATGTTATAGATCACATCACATGTAGTTTTCATGCTACACATCCATGCTTGATCCATGTCATTCGATTATATCGATATACGTGACCATTGATGGGTTTAGCTACATGAAAGTAGCAAAAGTCGTTTTGATCCTGCGTTGATGATTGATGGACAGGATTGTTTTGGGGATGCATTCAATAATGATAGCAAAATTTTGAGTACTCATAAAGTTATGTTTAATGCACAATTATAAGGTGACACATATAGCCCAAGTGGGAGATTGTAAGGCTTTTTTAATTAATAGTGGGCTTATATGTGTGAATAATTGTGTATTAAATTAAAGGCTATCGAATTCGGTTAAACCCAATTAAAGTAATCTAATAAGGTTTCAATTTTGGGTTTTAATGTATCCAATTAAAATATGAGTTTATAAATGTGTAGAGATCGGGTTCAAGTCCTAATTCTATGATGGGCCAAATTAAGTCAAAGGGTATCGTTATATAAATATGGTTATGGTTCCCAGATCACACGCACGTATTATTCATTCTCTTCTACATCCCATCACAGAGAGAAAAAGGAGACTGCGTGTAGATTTGGAAGACTATACCGCAGGATTCAATTATTGCAAAATAATTATGTTTGTTAGTCGGAAGTTACCAGCTCGAGAATATAAGATGTGCCTGTGTCACAAGCATGAGTAGATAAAATGACTTCAACCAATGTTCTAGCATGAAACGCTATAATGTTGAATAATCCACATCATTCTCGTAGAAAAAGGTCAAACGACTTTTAAATTATTTTGAAAGCTTAATTATTTATCTAAAAATAATTTCAATAAATATTTAGGAATATATCGATCTTCAGTGAAAAGAAATAAGATCATGCTATGATTACAAAATTGGATACAAAATGGGTTACAAAATCAACAAGTGGTGGCTGCCGATTGGAGGGGCGGCTAGCCCCATAGCCGCTTCTCTAATAGGGGGCCATCACTTGTTTATTTTGTAACCCATTTTGTACATGATTTAATACAAGTAGAATAATCCAAAGAAATATACGAATGCTCTATCAAGTACATAGGCTGAATACAACGTTGCAAGCATAATAATGCACTTGACTTGAGAGATTGGTTGCAAATATTGCTCAACCAATTGAGCAAGGAGGGGACATTTATTGTGACAAATGAAGTACAATTACATTGACTTTCAGTTCAATGTTTCGAAATACGCAAAACATTTTCAACCACTTTATTCGAGCAAAAGATGCTTGGGGGAGAAATAAGTCTTCTTACATTAGACTAAAGTGAGCAAATGACTAAATATTTTCACCCATGGTTTATCAAAGAAAAGTTTGACCATTTAAAAGTATGTTTGAGAATAACCTCTCTAATTAGCACAAAGGGTGAGGACTCAAGTTTTGTGCTAACAATTTATTGTCAAGTCTTTTGTAAGTTGGGGAGACTGCAACCAGCTTATTTTGTGGTCTATATTTCTATTGAATTGTTGCTTATGTTTACTATTTTTGTGTTATAGGACTCTACTCCCTAAATAGAAGCTATTTTTCAAAAAAAAAAAATAAAAAAAAATGAAAAAGATGTTTGAGAAAGGGCTATCAAACTATTGAAGCTTCTAGCTTTTCAATTATATGGATTTTGTGAGCGTAAATAGACATAATTTTTGTTCGACAAGAGTCCAGTTCAACTCGATTTCTTTCTGAATCTTCTCTCTCTATCGACATATAAGAGTCTCGACTTGAGCGCTCCCGACGACTTCAAGCGAACTTCATGAGTGTGCCCGAAAAGTCTAAAAAAATCGATGATAAGATATTTGAAAGTTCTATTTAGTGATGGTAACGGGATGGGATTTCTCGATCCCCAAATTATATAGTTTTATTTAATTTATATAATTGATAATTTTTAATTCAATTACAATAAATTTACGCACAAGGTTATATATAATTATAAAACTGATTTAAAGAGCAGCAATCCTCATCTAATGTTAAGAAACCGTGACATAGTACATCAATTTATTGGTGTATAAATTTATAGTGAATTTGAAGATTTGAATTAAATTTGATATGTCATATTATACTGCTTAACATAAGATAAGTATTGATATTCATTTAAAAAGTGTCTTAAAAAACTTTTCTTAAATGAATGTACAGCCACTCAATTAAAATGGTCAAAATTGACCGCAAGAAAAGTCCAAATCATTACCGGAGTGAATTAAACTTTTAAGAGGGTGTTTGGTAGGAATTGAAATTAGATTTTTTAGAAAATTGTGATAGAAATTTTTGAAATATATGATTGAAAAGTTGTGGGACCAATAAAAAATGTGGTTAATATTGATTGTGTGACTTTAACTTGAAGTAAACATCTAAATATCTAATGAAAACTAAAGTAAATATTTATACTGATTATACTATTTCAAGTTATGAGACAATGAAAAATAACATATATATAATATTATGACAACACCACTAACTAATATTTAAATCCATTTATCATTAAGATCCGTAATTTAACAAATATAAATGCCACTAATCAATAAATAAAGTTTCTTTTTTTGGAAAAAGATACTTGTAGAGTGTTTAAGGGCTTACATGTGTGGGACCCACAATTATTTTAATTGCGGGTCCCACCCTCTGTATGGAAGATGAATAATGTCATTTGCACAATGCATTTTGACAATATTATTGACAATGTCATGTGTATCAAAAAAATGCTGGTTGAACAGATAAATTATTTTTTAAATTGTCCAACGATTGGAGTGAGATAGCTATACAAGTTGATGTATAAATGACTGTACATGTAGCATTTTTTGCTTCTTTTTTTTTCTCACCTCAAATTGTTCTTTTTGTTTTATAAAATAGTTGACGTCCATTAGGATTCTAAAAGGTGACATCGTGACCTCACCAAAAATTATCCTTAAGATCAGTAATTGAAGCTAATTAAAGTTAATTAACTTTTAATCAATTGATTAATTAATTGAATCACTCACTTTTTCATCACATAAAAGCGTTGGGATACGACTGATATTGAAAGTGTAAGGAAAAGATATGTTGGTGGTGCGAGTTGGGTGGGCAAACATAATGCCAAGGCATATCCTTGATTTGGATGTCTTAAATTTCTATTTTATTACTGGTTAAAAATAAAAATAGATTACATACGAGAAAAAAAAAATGAATTAGTAGTGCTACATGTACATAATTATTTACATAATAGTGTCCATAATTATACATGGCACTGAATCCAACATTTAATTCAAACCTCACACTTGAACATCAATAACTGGATGATTGTCACATCACATTATGGACACGTACAATAATTATGTACAAGTAAAATTTTCCAAAATGAATAACATAAAAGGCAAAGTTATCAGAGTTCATTTGTTGGAGTTTTAAAAAGTCAGAAACTATTTTTAAGAAAAGTTGATTTAAATTTGTTTGAATAATTTTTTGAAAATACTTTATCCCGTTATAAGAGATTTTAAAAGCATTCGACTTGATATAATTTTTTCAAAAAAATTTCCTATAAAAAAAATAGAAACAAAAAGAAAAGTATCATTAAACGAAAATTTGAAAATAAACAGTCAAACCTTTTAATATGGAACCAGCACGTCAAACCTTTTACATGATCATTGTAAAAGGATTTGAATTAATTAAAACTGAATTTTTTTTTTTTTTTAAATAAGTTCTCTAAGGACTTAGTTCTCTACAACTTAAATATATTCAAAATGAAATTAATGAAGGAAAAAAATTGAAAAGGATTGAAATTAATTAAAAATGAAAACAAAGTGGACCAATATTTTGTAAAACACATCTAACTCACAAAATGTTGACTATGAAATTGTAAGGGAAGATTTCGAAAATAATTAGGCAAATTTCTTTTAATTCTCTAACTACTTAATTCTTCACAACTTAAATATATTCAAAATGAAATTAATGAAGGAAAAATTGAAAAGGATTGTAATTAATTAAAAAAGAAAACGAAATGGAGCCATATTTTGCAGAACGTAACTCACTCACAAAATATTGACTACGAAGATTTCGAAAATAATTTGGCAAATGTCGCCTTCATTTGCAACAATTGAGATTTTCTAACCTAGAGCCTGTTTGGGAGTGATTTTGAAAATTGATTTTTTGACCGTTAGGAGAAAAGTGAGGTCCACCTGTGAGAGAAGAAGTCAAATATGACGGCTGAAATAGTGAAATAACGGTCAAAAATCAATTTTTTTGGTAAAAAAATGGGTCCAAATAGACCTATTTCACTATTCCAGTCGTCATATTTAATTAGTCAAATATTTTTTGTCCATTTCATCCACTAATTAATGTACGGGGAAAAAAAACTAATTATTATTTTTATTAACTAGGAAAGAAAAGTCAGAACGAGGAAAATGCAGCAATTATGCCCTAATAATTGGTGTCAATGGGATTTTCAGCGGTGACTTGTATTCCACAGCAAGTTTATCTAGTTACTAGTCAAAGTAGAAAATGATTAGTTCATTTACTTAAATCAATTATAAAAATTACTTTCAAGCTAGGCCAAACACGCCTCTAGCTCTTGTCTATGTCACCGATAAAGAAATTCTTACAACTTGAATGAACATGTTTCGAAACACAGCCCCTTTAAAGCAAAGGTTCCTTCGAATCCATTACCGCACTGCGACAAGATCCATTTTCAAAAAATCCACACCAGAAATGTGTCTTTGTGCGTTTGGAGTGAGAAAGGGAAGTCAACGAGAAGGGAAGAAAAACACATTTTAACTCACCATCTGTGCTATTCATACATTATCAAATGAATCTGGAATTTATTTATTTATTATTATTATTATTTTTTTTTTTTATAGTACAAAAAGTGAGCATTGAGTTTTTGTACTACATAAGTTGTAGTACTTGTAATAGTCTTCGAGTTATAAATGTGGGTTTATGAGCATTCATTGCATTATATTTGGAGCATTTAGGACTTACCATACCAGATAAAATTCTGGGTTTTATAAATTCGAGAAAATTCATTGAATTCAGGGTTGGGCACCAACTGTTTGATATTGTACGAAGGTGAGCTCACCCTTTATATTTTCTTGAAATGATCAATTAGTTTGCTAGCATTTGCTTATTATAATCTGATTATAAGAAGGGAGAGTTTCTCAAAATGGGGAACAGTGAAAGGGGAGAAATGATGGAAATTGAAAGGGAGGATTTGGAAGAAACCATTGATCAACACCAGGGGGATTTGAAGAGAATTCCTCCATGGACAAAACAGATTACAATTCGAGGAATTGTTGCCAGTTTGTTGATTGGGATCATTTTCAGTATTATAGTGATGAAGCTGAATCTTACTGTTGGGCTTGTCCCTAATCTCAATGTTTCGGCAGCTCTTCTTGCTTTTGTATTTATCCGAACATGGACGAAATTGCTTCAAAAGGCTAATTTTGTGACCACTCCATTCACAAGACAGGAGAATACAATTATTCAGACTTGTGCTGTTGCATGCTATAGCATTGCCGTGGGAGGTTAGTAACTTTTTCAACATGTTCATTTTTCCTTTTCTTGATCATATTGGATTGAAATTATTCATGTTATTTTGTTGAAATATGGTATATTAGGTGGTTTTGGGTCTTATCTTCTGGGACTGAACAAGAAGACATATGAACAAGCAGGAGTTAATACAGAGGGGAATTCACCTGGGAGTTACAAAGAACCAAGGCTAGATTGGATGATTGGGTTCCTTTTCGTTGTTAGCTTTGTGGGATTGTTGGCTTTGGTCCCTCTCAGAAAGGTGTTAATTCTAAAATTTGTTTTGTTATTGCTTATGCATTTGAGTTCTGCAAATTCATTAAGATTTGCTGGACCGGACACTATAATATACATGATCTTATAACTGTTTGTTTTTTGTTGTTTCGTAGATTATGATCATAGACTACAAATTACCTTATCCAAGTGGAACTGCAACTGCTGTTCTCATCAATGGATTCCACACTACCAAAGGAAACAAGATGGCCAAGTAGGCAATTTTCTGTTTTCTTGCCATAACAATTAAAAATTGACTATATTTTAATCTCTCTTCACTTGGATTTTTCAGGAAACAGGTTCATGGGTTCTTGAAATTTTTCTCATTTAGTTTCCTGTGGAGTCTCTTCCAGTGGTTTTACTCTGGTGGAGAACAATGTGGATTCACCAATTTCCCGACTTTCGGGTTGAAAGCTTGGAAACAGTCGTATGTCTTTAACATTATTTCTTTAATCTTTCCTCGTCTTAAGTTTCGAGATCAATAAAATTTCAGTAGTCATTGATTGATTGCATTGTATCTTGCAGATTTTACTTTGATTTCGATATGACTTATATAGGAGCAGGAATGATTTGTTCCCATCTTGTGAACTTGTCTCTGCTTCTTGGAGCCGTGCTCTCTTGGGGGATAATGTGGCCCTTAATACACAAACAAAATGGAGATTGGTTCCCTAAATCTATACCAGAAAGCAGCATGAAGAGTCTAAATGGTTACAAGGTCCGTCTTAAAAAAATTCACTTTTGAATAAGCAGATGAGCTGCTCGTCCTCATTCTTGAACTGAAAAATGTGCTAATATTCGTCTTTACATGCAGGTTTTTATTTCTATAGCTCTTATTCTAGGTGATGGACTTTACAATTTTGTCAAGACATTGTTTTTAACTAGCAGGAGCATGTATGATGCATTCAAGAAGACGAATAGTCCTAAAGCAGGTGAAGTGGAAAGTTTTATTCTCTGCCCCTCTTTAGCCCACTTCGAATTATCTCCTCCATTGCCTTTTCTTTCCAATAATTTTTCTCCACATACACTAGGAATGCATAAAGTAGTGATGTCAAGTCACTAGAGAGAAATATGCCCACTTCAACATAATTCTTGTGGTTTAAATATGCCCACTATAGCTCAGCTAAGGGAGCCGCAAGAAAAGGGCTTATTCCTTTTCAAGCGTGTTTGACACTTTAGACAGAACTAGACACTGGATAGCGGACAAAAATCTCATGTGCTGCTGTTGCTTGATCCTGTCCAGTCGTGTCTTACTACTATACCGAATATTTCATGTAATTAATTTATTTCTTACAGCAGCATCAAATAGCAAGAATCAAGCCCTTGATGATCTACAAAGAAATGAAGTATTTGAAAGAGAGGGCATTCCGATGTGGGTAGCATGTGTGGGGTACATGTTATTCTCTGTAATTTCCATAATCGTGATCCCAGTCATGTTTCCACAGTTGAAATGGTACTATGTTCTGTTTGCATATATTCTTGCACCATCCCTAAGCTTCTGTAATGCTTATGGTGTTGGTCTAACTGACATGAACATGGCATATAACTATGGGAAAGTGGCTCTCTTCGTGCTTGCTGCTTTATCTGGGAAAGATAATGGCGTAGTTGCTGGACTCATAGGATGTGGTTTGATAAAATCAATTGTTTCCATATCTTCTGATTTGATGCATGATTTCAAGACGGGCCATCTCACCCTGACTTCCCCTCGCTCGATGCTTCTTAGTCAAGCCATCGGGACGGCCATTGGTTGCATTGTTGCTCCTCTCACGTTCTTCCTCTTTTACAAGGCTTTTGATGTGGGCAACCCGGATGGAGAATATAAAGCTCCTTATGCAATCATATACAGAAACATGGCGATTCTTGGTGTCGAGGGATTCTCGGCTCTGCCTCATCATTGTTTGCAGCTCTGTTGTGGGTTTTTTGGGTTTGCCATATTGGCCAATTTGTCGAGAGATACCATGCCCGAGAAGCTTGGGAAATGGGTGCCTCTTCCAATGGCTATGGCTGTGCCTTTCTTCGTTGGAGCTAATTTTGCAATCGATATGTGCATGGGGAGTTTGATCGTCTTTGTTTGGCACAAGCTCAACAGCCGGAAGGCGAATTTGATTATTCCTGCAGTTGCCTCCGGTTTGATTTGTGGAGACGGCTTGTGGATTCTCCCTTCGTCTGTACTTGCTCTAGCCAAGATCAACCCTCCAGTCTGCATGAACTTTTTGCCTGGGACGAGTTCATGAAAACTTGAAGTGCACATTTGGATTATACAGGACTGAGTCTAATCTTTCCAATCGAACATGTTAGAGTTATGCTAGAATATGGGCTTCAAGAACAATTTTGGGTTGTTAGTGGATGACATGGACAAAGATAACCTTCGTGTTTGGCTAAGCATAAAAAGTTTTACTTACAAGTCAATGAATAAATTTTAAATTAAATAGAAAGAGTAAAAGTTGAAATACTTTTGAGTGAATTTGGAAGTGTACCATTTCATCGACTTTATAAGCAAAATATCAACCACCAATAGTGACAGGAATCTGGGAAATTGATATACTCAATGTGTCACAGAATAAACAATTCTTTACGCCAAATCTTTCAATGCGCCAATAAGATTCACTTTTGTCTGAAAAATATCATTTTCTAAGAGAATATTCATACACAGCCCTTGTTTGGTCATCATTATTTTTAAAATGCTTTTTTTTTTCTTTTTTTTTTTTCAACCACACATTTTTTAATAAAATAATATTATACATAAATTTAAAACTTTTCCTTATTTTTTAACCACGCATTCTCTCTCCATCTACCATTTCAAAATGCCTTCTCTCAAAAGAAAATGAGGTTCAAACAGGCCATATTCACGAAGGAAAAATAAAGATATGAGATAAACATGAAAATAAAGGGACAAAAATAATTGCTACTACGATCATTACAACGAAGGTTCGTTTGGTAAGATGATCATCGTGAATTACAAGTTCTATATTTTAATCTTTTTGTTACGAGGAAAAATAAAGATATGAGATAAAGATTAATATAAACGGACAAAAATAATTGCTACTACAATCGTTACGACAATGGTTTGTTTGGTAGGATCATCGTGAATTACAAGTTCTATATTTTAATCTTCTTGTTCCTTTTTTGCTTCGACGATACTGATTTTACATGTATTCATAGTTTTGATTGTAATTGTCATTTGTCTTTCATTTTTGTGAGATTATGATCTTCAATAGACATTAACGCGGTTAATAACTGCACAAAAACAAAAAAAATTACATACCTTTGAGCATAGATTTAATACAGGATGTAAATTATAATTTCAAAAAATTACACATTATAACATAAATAACACATAATGTAAGTTACATACATTGCAAAAGAATACTTGCAATGTAATTTGTCAAAGAATTACATAAAATGCAATCACCGAATTTTTCTTCAAATCCCGGTTGAAGTTATAATTTTGCAAAAATCAACATTTTCAANAAAGAATTACATAAAATGCAATCACCGAATTTTTCTTCAAATCCCGGTTGAAGTTATAATTTTGCAAAAATCAACATTTTCAACTCACCCCATATTTTATTCCCATTTGTGTAAATTACCCCCAAGAAAAAGTGGTTCCCTACCTCGAAAATAAATAAGAGAATGGGCTGAACTCGTGAAAATTTGGACTCTTCAATATCTTGCTTATCTAATTAGGCCCAAGTTTCTGATTGTTGGCCTATTATAGAAGGGTATGGATCCTATTGGATCTCATTCAACTTCACCTAACGTTTTGTAGAAACACCACAAACTATGCTTTTAATGCATATTCATATTTTACTGCTAAGCATTTTTTAAACCAAAACTACTACATTTTTCCATAGTAAGAGCATCTCCAAGAGACTACTCTATTTTCAAAGAGCGTATTTTATCATTTTGAAAGTATCTATAAATTTAGAGAGTTAAAATTTTGAAGTATTTCAACAAACTCTTTATATTTAACACTTAATTTTATTACTCCCAAAAAATATCTATTATTTTTCTCTATCTTTTATTTTAACTAGCTTTTTAAAATCTATTTTATTATATTCTTATATTGAAAGTTGAAATACTTTGAATGCATGCTTACTCTTTAAATTAAAATATTAATTTAAATAATCTATCAGGGCATGATTTTAAAGATTGACGAGAGCATTCCATATTTAAAAAGTCACTTGAAAATACTCTAAAAATGATAACTACGTAATTACATCTCTCATCAATAAATCGATTCAATAGCTATAATCACTCCACCAGTCAAGGTACCACACTCCCAGTTATCTTGCCAAAAGAAATTCCCAAATCACAGTCTTCCTATTTGAAGAAAAATCCCAAATCTGTAATCATCTTGAATCGACTTCCCCCATTCCATTACATTCCTAGCTTTCTTCATATCGAAACCTAATTTTTACATCGTAAATCATGCCAAGGAATCGATATCCATATTGCAATTTCGTAGGCTCCAAATTTGTCTGGCATTTTTGTAATCTCTAGTAGCAGTGAAGACATTTACCATCCCGTATGACAGGGCGGACCCAGAGACTTCGGACTGTGGGGTCAAAAATGAATTTTTTTTTGGAACAACGTATCATTAACGAAAATAAATTCATTGGATTAATGGATTGGAGCCATTGGGCTTATGGATTGGAGTCATTAATGGATAATGGATTGAATTAATTGAAATTTGGAACCCCAAACCCAAACAACCGTTTCAGCAGCAAAATTTTTTTTTTTAAAAAAAAAAGAAAAAAAAGGAAAAAAAATAAAACTGTGGGGTCATTTGACCCCACATGACCCCATGTGGGTCCCCCCCTGCCGTCTGAGAGGTATCATTACTAAATCTAAATGGCTATAGCAAAAGATTTTGTACTATTTTCTTGAAGTTTAGTTTAATAATTTACTTTTTCTGGTTTCTACAATGAAAGTTATTGATCTTTTATATTTTCTTGATGGTTCTTGATTTAACAATGTAGTTTGCATACAGAACTGTGATTTATGCTCACATATATAACCGCATGTGGGATTAAAATTGCTTCTTAGTCTCCATTGGTTTTAATGGTTTTACTAGAACATCACGGTGAGGGTGAGGTTTAAATCTTTCACATAGTTATCACCTAAGAACAAGTTCCTTGAACCGTAGCATACTATGTTCTACTTTTCAGTATATATAATCTTTTGATTTAAAACGAAAGTAATTGACGGCATGCATGAGTCTCAATCCCAAAACAATGGTAATGTTATAGAATGCTTTTGTGGTAGATGATTGCAGAGACTGAGATTCCAACTTCTCTAGTAAGTATGAAGTCTTTGAATGAGGTGCATCTCCCCCCC